GCCCAAGTTACTTTGCAGGCTAAGACCTGAGTGCAGGAAAGATCTCCAGGATCTTGCAAGGTTCATACTGAAGTTTCTTTTCAAAGTTAGCTTTGGATTTTTACTTAGTTGTCCAAATCATCTGAAATCTTTCTGTCTCCTCATTTCACTCCTTTTCAATCTCCCAACTAAACCAAATTCCCTTTCTTTAAAATGCAAGCAGTCTTCTACTACTGTCTCACAAATCATGTTCTTTACCCCTACAGTTTACCAGATGTCATCTTGACACTGCAATTCATCTTCTTCATCGTTCTCCACAGACCATCGCTGGTCTGATCCTATCCTAAAGAGATCTCCCAAGACTGACACTCTATCTCTGCTGCTCAAAACCATGTAGCAGAGAAATTATATATATATATGTACATGCATACATACATACATATATATACACACACACAGAAATGTCAGGGAACTGAGAGAGAAAAAATTTCTCACCGGTTAGCTAGCCTTGCAGAAACTTCTCAGCACCTGTGATGGTATAAGAAGTTTAGCAGCTGGTGCATGTGCTCAGTCTAACTCATCCTGGGCCCATCAGAGCTAAGGCACATGTAGAGGAGTTCTGTACTTGTGTGTATCTGCCACTTCTGCAGATGGACAGAATGATTTCTATGGGCTAGATGGCAGCCTTACTGAAAAGGAAAGGAGAGTACAGGAGAGTGGAGTTCATTCATACGTGGATTGGCGGGGGGGGGGGGGGGGGGGGGAAAAACACCCCTGAAAAGGGCATGTGACCTGAGTAGAAAGCAAAACATATCATTAGTATGTATTAACAAAAATCTAAATGTTGTCTACATGAAAAGGTTGTTCTTTGGTGTCGATACCAACTACTCATAGCAAAGAATTAACCCCCAAATTTGTAAACATGCAAGTTAGAGTTACTTTTAATTACGCTGAAAATAATGCAGTTGCTTGTGTCTGAAAGACAAAGGTTTGAGCTTATAACATTCTGAAAGATACATTCATTACAGCACAGCAATTGTGGTGAGAAATAGCAACCACACTTGGCTTCTTTGGATAAATGCCATTGTTGATTATTCATAATATATTTACACTGCGTATAGATTCCTCACAGTTACCCAGTAAACACACTGGGTTTCATTCTTTAGAGATTAACAATCTCTCTTGTGTGTTCAGGTTTTTTCCAGCTTAGTACACTGTTTCTTTTGAAGGATTTGCTTTCCTGAGTCGAACTTTAAGGACCCGGAGCACCTTATCACACTTTCACAAGCTTACTTTCCGCAGCGGTGGGGAGAGAGGGGCAGAGGTGAAGGGAGGAGGGAAAAAAAAAAAGGGAGGGGGAAAAAAAACCTTGTCAGGGCTTGTGCCGGTTCAACCCAAGCTCCCCGGGGATTTGTTTTTCTTTTGGCGCCGGATTAGATGTCCAAACCAAGCAGCGTTTCGGCGGCGGGCGGCTGCCTGCGGAGCCCTTAACCGGGCTAACCCGGCCGGGGCGCGCAGCGCGCCAAAAAACAAGTTTGGCGCTCAGGTAACGGCGAGCTTCGGGGGACTTTACAAACGGTTAATGAGCAACGATGGTTAACCCAGGGGACTGAGCCCAGGTATAAGTATGGCATGGCGTTTGCGAGCTCGCTGCGGGCTTTGCATGGATTTTTATGAATTAACGTTGAAGGAGCGTTTGTGATATAGCAGAAAGTGCTTTTTGCTTTACTCTTCTTGAATATACTTTACCAAAAGCTTTACTGCTTTATTTCTTCACGATGCACAAGATTTCAATGCAAACTGTTCATATCTAACGTAATTTTGTTATTAATGTGGTAATTTCCTCAAGTTATTCTCATTCTGCTATGAAGACTGTACTGCAAGTAACCTATTTTATTATACCTCTCAACTTTGTATTTCATTGCAAATGATCTCTGTCTCAGAAAGATCCTGGCTTGGGGCAATATAGTTAGATGCTTTCTCTTTAGTTTGGAAAAACAAAGAGTTATGAAATGAGTAAATCATGTGTTTTGACGTTATGACTGTGGCAGACAGCATAGCATATTGTTTGAGATCTAAAACCTAGAAAGTCTTTTTTCCTGAATAGAGGACTTTTTAAATCAGATTATTAGTGTGTAATTTTAAGTGTGGTGAAGTTTGATGAAAATTCAAATGCAAATAGTTATTATATTTAGCATAGCTAGAGTTTTAGTCTACGTTCAGCATCTGAATTGGAGTTAGTAAGAAAAAGAGTAGGAAAGCAGGTTCTAAATGTTGGTTTCTTGTCCATAGTTGTATGATAGCCTGCTTGGGTACCCAAATTAAAAAGTTCTCAGTGAAGTACCTGTTACTCTACCTTTTTGTGTGGGATTGTGTTGCTTAGAGAAATTGAAGTAGTGACCATCTTTAGAAAAGATACCTCTGGCCTATGTAGTAAATAAGGTCCCCAAGGTAAATTTGCATTAAGTGTATGAAATGTAACAAAGGATTTTTTTAACAAGTCTTGGCAGCATGAGTGAAATCCTGTGTTACAGAAGTTCTGTTCTAGGAGCTAATTTTGGATGCTATTCAGAAACATGCCCTGTAAAAGCTTTTAATGTTTCTAGAGAAGATAAAGGATATTGCAGTCACCTCGTTAGTGTTAAAACAAACAAGCAAGAAGATAAAACTGGCATTACTCTGATAGCATTCCTTACTCAACCAAAAGTTAATGTATATGTGCAACAAAGGTGGTTCATATATCTGCAGCTTCTTATCAGTGTACCTCTTCTTAAGGCAATACAGAAGTATGTGTATTCCTGGAGCTTGAAGTAGGGGGAAATTTCAAGTTTCTAAAGTCCAAACAGTAAAGTAAATAATTTCAAATGTTATCACTGGAATACCTGAATAATAATTGTAACTTCCTTTCTTTCTATACAGCACTCTGAATAAAAAATACATATAATTTTCTAGTACAGTTTAGCTTCAAAATTGCTGCAGGAAGGTCAAATGAAGTTCATAAAGTTCACTCTATAAGCCTTGAGAAGTGTAGAAAGCTATTTTTAAAAAATCTTTTCTTTTTTTGAAAAGGCTTCTAAGTTCAGGAATTACTCATTCATTGCTGCGTTACACTTCCAAGCTGATTTGGCTGTATAATTTACAGTTTTGTCATTATTATTGTCAGGATCACAGGCTTGTAAGTATTTAGGAAGTTAAGTTAGAAGTTATAGCAACTGAGAATTTCAATGAAATCTCTTCTGTGAAGTCTACAAATTGTTTAGACTTCCAGAGTTTCTATTTAACTTCCCTTTGTTTAAACATGAAACGCACCTTATCCCAGAGTCTCTAATGTATTAACATTCTGTTTGTTGAAGTAAGGAAGAACAATCAAATGTGGTTCCATTAAATGTTTTTTAAAGTTTTTTTTATACGTGACAGTAAGAGTCATATGACAGTGTCTGTCATTCCTACAGAATACAAAATCTAGCAGACATTTCAAATAAAAATGCCAAGTAGAGCAAAGATAAAATGTTGTTACGTAACATGAATGTCCACTAGTTCCACTAAAGGAATTGGATTCTCTGAAAAAGGCTGAAGAACAACTTTTTATGTATGATGTGGGACAAGCAATGGATGTAGTTAAAAATTCTTATCATGGGACTTTATACTTGGGACATTCATTGATTCTAAGAAAAGTCCACAATTCACAGTGTTTTCCAGAAGTCCCAGAAACACAGGTCTTTGGGATCAAAATAGGATGCAGATTTGGCTGACAAAAATGTAGCACTAAATAATAGTTATCATATAGGTATTTCAAGTAAATATATAGAGGGAATTTCCTATTTTCTCTTTTTATAAATGCAAGGTGATAATATTTCACTTAAATTGTGTGAAGCTCATTTCATGTTACTTAGGTCCCCGATAACTTTTCTGTAGTTCATAATTTATATTTCTTTTAATACTGTGCAACTGAATAGGCTATGTTATTCTTTACATACATTTTGTAAAATATATCTGTCTGTAATGACTTTTTATAGGAAAATTTAAACTCAGCTCCTTATTAAATGAAACAGTTGAGTTCTAGCTGGAGGAACTGTTTAGATAATTTACCAGGATTCATACTGTGTTGGGTGAGGACTGTCCAGATAATTAAATAAACTTCAGAACTCTGAACTATTCTCTCTCTCTCCCTCTCCCTCTCCCCCCCCCCCCCCCTCCTTTTTTTTTTTTTTTTTGCAACTCCTCTGTCTTTCTTTTTAAAAAATAACTCTCTTGTCTTTGGAAATTAATACTATACTGAAGGAAATTACTTGATTTCCTGAGAATTTCTGGGACTAGATCTTAGTTGGTATGAATTGGTTGGTATAATCTTGAACTCAGTCAATTTTACAATTTACACCAGTTCATCAACTGAGTCTTAATGCTTGAAAGACTTTTTTGTCTTTTTTCCCCAGTAAGTCTTCCTTTTCTTCTTCTTTTTTTTTTTTTTTTACTGAAGGTGTCTACGTTATAAACTGTATACTTTACTTAACTTGGCTACAAGTTAAACGGTACTTTCAGTGCCTGTACAAAAAGCTAGAGTGGAATCATAGTGCTATCAATTTTATTTGGGGATTTTTTCTGGTTTCTGAGATTTCTTTAACTTAGAGCTGACTTAGTTGCATCAGTAAAATGGAAATCGTTTTTTAAGTATTCTTAATAAAATGGTGTTCTTTTCTCTTTCTTTTTTCATGCAGAAAGCTCTGATAATTTTGTTTGAATTAATTATTCTCCAGCGATTGCTGTTATAAGAATGTAGACAGCAGCATCAAAGTCATCTGGCTAGTGAATATGAAAAAAACGTTAAGAGCTTTTGTTGGGTGCTTAGCTCTAGAAGGGAAGCAGAGTTCTAATGGAAAGTGTTTATTCGGTACAGCATACTCATTGCCTATCTGCACTGTCAGTGAAATTTTCTTTTATGTTGGAAGTTTCTCTTTGGGTGTACTCTTAAGTAGTGTTTAACAAGCACACAGAACTTAAGGCATTTCCTCTCTCTTTTTTAGGCACAGAAATCATGGATAGAAAGAGCATTTTACAAGAGAGAATGTGTTCATATCATACCCAGCACCAAAGACCCCCATAGGTAATGATATACTACTTTTATGAAAAATTAAAGTCAATTACAAGATGTTTATATACGTATGTGTGTGTATGTGTTTATGTACATATAAGTCATTTGTAAAGACATATTTAATCAGAAAGGTAGCTGAATTACAGTTGGAATGTACAGAAATGGCACTTTGCCTCATAGGAATCCATCTCTCCAAAATGCGCATCATCAAAACATGGAAATCGAAGATGGATCAAAGTCTATGTTTAATTCCCTCATCTTCCTAGTGAAACATTTGGTTCCTTGGATATTTATTTAAATTGGATGCATAACACAAAATACTCTCAAAATAAGGTAATTGCAGTGAACTACCATTTTAAAATGTGTGCAGGTCCATGCAAAGGCTGATTATTTGGGCTAATGTCATCTGAGAAAATTATAAAATGTTCTTTACTTTCATTTTATATATATTTAGAACAAAGCATAGTATTAGTGTAAAACAGAAGAGTCCTAAGAAAAGAAGATCACAGAAAGAAATGGTATTATCTGTATTATTTGGCTTCTACATACAGAGGCTTCAGATAGTAGAAGAGTTGAGTTGAAAGAGGAGAGATAGTAAAAGAGCAGTTATCAGAGTTAAAATGATTTGGGGTTAAAACAGTTTTTGTGGTTTTTGGGTTTTTTTTAAGATCTGTAATCTTTTTAATAAAGCTTACTCCCCAGTTAAGTGTATACGTGCAGGTTACTCAGGTGTTTTGTCTGTTTAATGTCATAGGTGTTGCTGTGGGCGTCTAATAGGTCAACACGTTGGACTGACTCCAAGTATCTCCATTATTCAGAATGAGAAAAATGAAAGCAGGCTTACTCGAAATGACATCCAGTCCGAGAAGTGGTCCATCAGCAAGCACACGCAGCTCAGCCCCACGGATGCTTTTGGAACCATTGAGTTCCAAGGAGGAGGCCACTCCAATAAAGCCATGGTAACCCAATTTTTCTCTTAGACAAATAATGCTTCTAACTCAAAGAAGGCATTCGCAAAAAGTAAACAGCTTACTTTCTTAATATCATTCTAAAGTTTTGTTTAGCGTAAGACCATACCATATGCTTTTATGTATCTTGTGCCAAAGAATCAGTGAACAGAGTGAACCATAAAAGCTACAATGCAGCATGAAAGGACCTACCTTTATGAAGACATGCTAATGTGCTGATACATTGATTTTCTTCCATTGGCCAGCCATCGCTCTTTTTGGAATAACTTCAGAATTAAATTGTGGTTTCCCATTGCCTGTGTGCCATTGCAGGGCTGAAAAATCTGAGATATACCAGATTTCTTTTATATGCCTCCAGACATAAATTAGAGGGTAGACAACTTAGACGTCCTTGTTTATCCCTCAATGAAATAAGAGGCCTAGTGGTAAGCCACTAAGCTAGGAATTGGGAATTCCCTGTTCTGCCACACATTTCCTTCGGAAAGTCACTTAGTCATCATACACTGCTATCAATTGATGCCAAAGTGTATCAATCTGAGCAAACTGCTTCACTAAGGCAGCGGTACGTTTCCAGTGCCCACGCTAACCCAAGCATGTATTTCTACACGGCATTACATGGTCATGAAAGAGAGTCTCTTTAGCTGTGTCTAAACTGCAGTGTCTGGGGCTTTAGGAAAGAAACATGATTGTTTCGAAAGCAGATAGTGGCCAAAATGCTGATTTGGGCAGCTACAAGAGCAGAGGCCAAACCTCTGGGTGCTCTCTGGAGTATCCTGCCAGCAACCTCGTGTTATCCTCTTTGCCTCAATTCTTCCCAACAGGGCTCTCAGAGCTGTCATGATAGTAGGTGGATTAGAGAAGATGACATGAAGAGATGGTGAAGCACTCAGGATAGAGGAGATGGGAAAAATTGCTTGGATGGATGGTTTTGTTCACCCAGAGCAGTGGATTCTTTTGATAAAATAGAAAATGCTGTTGCGCCAAGAAGCAGATAGAAAATTATGTTGTTTCTCTGTCACAGACACCTTATGTTTAGCTGATGACCACTCACCTAAAAATCCACAAGGCAGAGCAACCTATTACTAGAGAATCTGGTTCAGTAAATAGGGTGAATAAATTGAGACCTCCCTTGACATGGAAATGGAACAAGCTGTTCTCATGGTGTCTCACAAAGAGTGGAAACAGAACAGAATTTTCATGAATTCTGAGAGAAACCCAGAGATATAGTAACCATCATGCTATTCTCCACCTTGGGTTATAGCTATATTTATGGGAGAGGGTAATTGCTAGAGTTTTTTTGAGTGATGTCCTTCATGAGCTTTATAAAACAATAAACTGTACTGACAAGAAAGAAGTAGTCTAAGGCAGCCAGAAATGATGAAGAATTTAGGGAAGCTGTTGATACGAACTGGGCTGGAGGATTTATATTTTTATCTATTGAAATTCTGTTGTCCTGCATACAGTTCCGTAAGAGAACAGGAGATGCTCCAAAGTACATGCTGTGCGCTCAAAAGAATATGCTTGGAGTGCAACTATGACGATAAAATTAGAAGTCAATATGAAGGAAAGAAAGATCTTGTCACAAAGCTCAGTCAAGATTTCTAACAAAAAACATCTATAAAGAGTTTAGAGAAAAGAAGACAAAAAGGTATTAAAAACTGCAGACACGTAAAGTACAAGTAAATGCAGACAAAACATTTACTGTTGGAAAAACTCTGGATTTAAATTGACAGTGCTAGAAAATAGGAAGAATAGTTGCATCTGCCATCTTATCATTGTCATTAAACCCCATGCAATGCATGGGAACGACAAAATTCTTCATGATTTAAAAATATGTATAAAATCTCCAGAAATTCAGTAATCCCACTAACAGAAAAAGAGCTTCAAGTCAAGTAATTCACTAAAAAGCTCTGAATGGGTGTCCAGTTTGTTTACCACTAATGAGAGAAGCTTCTTGCATATGATCAAAGCACAAATGAGGAGATCTGCAAAAAGTAATGGTGCATTTTTTTAGCGAGAAAATATGGAAGAACTTTGTTATGCTACGGTGCTTGTCACTGAGAACAGTGTGAAGATGTCCTTATGGTCACATTTCCAGTCCCAAAAATTATTTTAGGATAGATTTTAGCCAAGGTCCTGGCTGAGTAGTTGCTGCAGTTTTATTAATAGAAAAAATGAAAAATTCTAGCTCTGAATTTACTGCTTACAAAGTGTTTCCCATAATAAACAATGAAAGTTACCAAATCAAGGGCCTTCTGAAAAATCTAAGAGATGATTAGAGGACTGGAGCATCTCTCCTATGAAGAAAGGCTGAGAGAGCTGGGCCTGTTCGGCCTGGAGAAGAGAAGATTGAGAGGGGATCTCATCAACGTGTACAAGTATCTGAAGGGGGAGTGTCAAGAGGATGAGGCCAGTCTCTTCTCCGTGGTGCCCAGCATCAGGACAAGAGGCAATGGGCACAAACTGAACCACAGGCAGTTCCACCTAAACCGGAGAAAAAACGTGTTTCCTGTGAGGGTGACAGAGCATTGGAACAGGTTGCCCAGAGAGGTAGTGGAGTCTCCTTCGCTGGAGTTATTCAAAACCCATCCGGATGCAATCCTGGGAAAGGACCCTCTGGAGGACCCTGCTTGAGCAGGGAGGTTGGACTAGGTGATCTCCAGAGGTCCCTTGCAACCTAAACGATTCTGTGATTCTGTGATTGATTTCTCAGGTCAAGCAACCAACCAATTTTGCCAGCAGAGGTGGGGGAAAAAAGAACATTTTATTGCTTTGAAAAATAAAACTTGAAGAAAGGAGCAAATGCATAATAATCCATGGAAATGTTCCTGTTCAGGCAATACTTAAATATTACATTTTCAAACCCAAAAGCAAAGGAGCTCAAACGTCAACGCATACACACACAAAGAAAGAGAGGGAAAAGATAGAAAACATGATAAGTGAACGTTTGTTCTTCTCTGAGATAGCCTGCTTACTCAGTTATTTTCTAAGTGCCAACAACTGGATATCAAATATCACTGTAGCATACAAGCTGAGTTTTATCGGCAATCGTGGTAGGTTAATAATATGCCTATTGCATGAAAGAACAACCCTACAAAACAACCAGATTTAGTAAAATGACCAATATCAAACAAAGGCACAGGATAAGAATTTGGAATAAAATTCAGCACCTGTTCCTTACTTTATTTCCTGGAATGGATGGCCGTACGTGACAACTATTAAGCAGCGTTAATGCAGAACTGAGTAACATTGTCTTCATCTGTGCTAACAGCAAACCTAGTAAATTTTTCTGGATAAAAGCTATGAGGCATGTGATGAGATTTATTATTATAAACAGATGTAACCTCAGATTTACAGTTGGGACACCAGGACCTGTAGTCAGTTCGTGGAGCAGATTAGTGGGTGTAACACTGAAAGATAATGTTTTCCTCTGTTGAAAATAACAAACATGAATTTGATGGTAAGCATTTGCTTACTTTGCATGTGTATTTGCAAGCCACAAATGCAGTGATATGTACACTATCAATTGCCACCAGACAATTAACAGTGTCATAGAGTAATTTTGTTTTCACAAAAAGACAATAAGATTGTAATAGCAAATGTGGGTTTGGAACAAAACAGCAAAGATCGTGTAGGTTTACATATTGCCAATAAAAGTGTCTGTCTCATTGATTTTAATTTCCCAATCACAGAACAAAAATTCTCGAGTGGCATTAATTTTGCTAATACCATAGAGTTGCTGAAGCATCTTCAGTAGGGCTGCACTAAGCTACTTAAGTTAATAATTTGAATAACTGAGTGTACAATAGAAGCTACAAAAACATATAATAGAGATTAGATAACACTGTTTAATGAGATCAGTTGCGGTAGAGGCCTTTCTTCCAGTCTAGTAACCACAGATGATCCTGTAACAATATTGTGTCGCTCTTTTTAGATGAGTATCAATCCCTATTTTCTTTACAAATGGCTCACACTGCTAATGTTTAAAGAACACATTTCGCAGTTTTGCCATTCACATTTAAGTTTGTTTTTGTGGTGGGTTTTGAGTTATGACTACTGTAAAAAGGCATCTTTAAACAGGAACAGCTAAAGGCAGAGAAGAATGGGGAGATGCATAAACTTTTTCAGCAGCTTTCACAACAAATCAGTGAAGTAAAAAAAGATTGGAAAATTAGTATAATGGAATAAGTGTGTCTCTGAGTAGTTTTAGAAATAACATGTATCAGTCCATCTCACTTTATACCAGCAAAGTAACACTCGAACTCCAAAAGCAGTTATTAAACTAATGTGACAGATTATGTTCCAATTATGAGCAATATTCTGGACCATTTCAGAACAAAGAGATTTTGATCATTAGAGGACCAGCTAAGACTGTGCTGCATTTTGCACTGAACTTGTGAACAAATTAAACCAATTTTTTGAATTTAGCATCTGCCTTTCCACATACACAAAAAAGTGACATTCTTTCATTAATTGGAAAATCTGGATTACATATCAATCTTTTTTTAATGCCTACGCTTTACTGAACTGAAATTGCTTTGATCATGTTTATTCAAGATTAGATGGGAGACGGCTGTTTGAAAAGCTTCAGTGAGTTAAATACATTTGTTCTTTTTTTAATAACTTCCTCCTAATCAATGCATTCCAATTCTATACTTAATATGCATAATAAAAAGCTACCATATGTTTGCAGCTGTAGAAAACAGAAAGTTTATTACAGTGTTATGGGCTTAATGGCTCTTACGGTGCATGGAAACATGAAAGAACTTCAATAGAATTTCAAAGTACTTAAACAGTTTTGACAGAGAGACCTTCTGATATTCAGATACTCAGTACATTATACTTACTAAGGATATTTGGAAATCAATCAAATAAAAGGTATTATTTTTTGCTTTTAAAATGTATAAAGTTTCATCAAAACTGTGCAAAAATGATCTGAAGAGCCCTCGAGTTTTTGAGACAGAAAAAGGAGAGATAATCCTTTAACTGACATGAACTGTGAAAAAGGCAATGGGGTTTATTTTTGTTATAGTAGATTAATATTCTAAGCATATTTACAGAATTTAAGAGATGATGGGCTACATGGAGAGAGAGGAGAAGTAACACACAAAGACGTTCATCCAAGGTCCGTTTAAATCAGTGAGAGTCCTTCCACAGACTATTCAGTAGAATTTAAATGTCCTTAAGACATCTAAGAGAGTAGTAACTAGTAAGGAATCGGTGTGGTTTCAGTTTAAGTGATAGTTTTGCTGCTGATTTTAGAGAGAATTAGATCAGGCCTATTTTCTGTGAAGATCACACCTCAAGGGATCAATCTTGACCTTGAAGAACTGTCTGCAGCACTGGAATCTTACTCAAGGTGGGTGAAAAGGTCGGTACTATTGGCCTGCCCCCAAAGAGAAAACAAAGCAGCACTGTTAGACTGCCTTGCAGATCACAGAATGTTATTTGACATGATTTTCTTTAAAGAAATGCAACAAAAAAGATACTTATCTAGGTCTTTCCATTTTTTTTTACTGAAAATCTCCTCTGTAGGCAGGCACCAGGGCCTCTGGAGGACAGCTGTGCTTGAGTAACAGCGTAAAACTTTTAGCACTTAGGAACTTCCATTTTTGGCCTGGGACACAGGAGGAGAGGGTCCAGCCTGGAAACATCTGGCAGTTTAACTGGTGAGAGGAGCGTTTATTTCTTAGATAACTGCTTGATGACAAATTGAAAGAAATACTAGTATCAAATGGCACCCTTCTTGACAACCTCTAGGCCAGGTTAGGGATCAAATGGATGTGACAACTTGGACTGATGTGTCGTTCATTCTACAGTGTTCTGCCAAGTCATTCAGGTCGGTCAGTAGGTTTTGTGGTTAAAAACTGTGCTACTGCTTCCAGTTTTTGACCTTCTTTGCTGATGTGTAGTAACTGAAGACTTGCATCCTATCCATATGCCCCTCCCCTAAAGGAGAACTAAATAATTTGTCATTAAGAATGATCACTTCTAAAGCTGACGGATGGCTACCCTAGACCCTGAGGTTTGGGGGAACAGAGCAGTAGCCTAGCTTAGGTTCGTATTTAAGTTTTAGTTCTACCTCAGGAAGCTATCGCAAAAGAAATCAGGAATGGCAGAAGTACTCATTAAGACAGAAAGTAAAAAGATCAAATGTTCTGCTACAGTATTGAAAGAAATGAATTTTTAATATGGATGAAAATTGCCTTAAAAGTATTTATTCATAATTTAGTGGATACTTAGGAAATGATGACAAAAAAATTTCTTGTCCTCAGTAGGTATCATGTGAAGTAATGGCAAAAGAGTTATTGCAGGCATACCAAACTGGAAAAGCCTTCTGTAAGAGTTAAAATGAATCCAACAGTCAGAACAACTGAGATCTATGCATTTTCTCTGCAAAGAAGAAAAATCAACATTTAGATGCCATTGTTCTTCTCAAAAAACTTTCTAAACAGTAAAGGTCATCCATGATGGTTTAAATTTCAATTTACATTTTAAAAGTTCAGATTTATTTTTGCTTGAGTTTCCTCCTTATAAATGAAAATGAATTCTTATCATAAGTGTAGAGGTTTTTGGCCTGCAGTATAAGGGACAAGCAGGCATTTGTGATGAAAGATGTCTACATTTCAAATAAATGTAAGAAAATACTTTTTTCTTGCTCTGCAGTTTAGCAGATAGCTTTATCCTTATTGAATTCAGAGGTCTAGGTAGATAAGAAATTGAAAGAGATTTTTGCTAATCAGTGAGTGGGCTTAAGAAATTAGGGACAGTGAAATCACACCTTCTGGGCATAAACCAATACTAGAGGATCAAAAAAGCAGTCACTAGGTAGATTAGGTAGTATACATCTGATGCTGTTTTTGTCCTCGTTTTAGCATCAGCCTGAGGCAAGATGGATATAAGGATGATCCCAGTTAGAGCAGTTGTCTGGATGGTTCAGTGGCCTCAGCTTTCAACAAATCTATGTGGCTGTTGGTCATATCAGTTAATTTTCTGTAATCATCTTTTTGATTTTAAGCTCCTAGCCTGCATTTATCAAAAGCACAGTAAGGTGCCAATTGCACTGTAACAAAGTCTCCACGCTTTCACCGTCAGAGGATTCAGTCTTTGGAGTCACTGAAGTGAAGCCCGTGCCTCACTATAAACCCTTGCAGCGCAACAGGGACTTGCCTTTGCAGCCTCAGTTCTCCCCACAGGCAGAGCCAAGGGAGTAAACATTAGTCTCCTGGCAGCAGTCCTATGTGTTAAAGCTTTGACAGCTCTTGATTCCTAATGAAAATTGTGCACTTCACCTTCTGGCCAGTGGGATCAGGCACCACACAGGGTTTTCTCAACTTCCAGGTAATTGGATGGATTACTGCTAAGCATACAGTACACACACAGAAGCTCAAAGGTACTTTGCACTCCTGCCAAATATGAATGTTGTATGTTCTTTCTCTGTTAGCTGTTAAGAATTTGCCTGGCAGCTGCAGGGAACTTTACTGATTTAGTGGGGTAAATTTGTGCTCACAAATTCTTGTTCATCTTTCAGTGTGGCTGTGCTCCGCTTGCTTTCCTGTGACCGTTTGCTCAAACGTGTCTCTGCTTCCAGAAATGCAGGGAATGGCTGTTCATCATGTGACAACCCATTCTTGCAAAGAAATCTGGCTGTTAGGAATTTGTGATGAAAAAAGTCAAGTCCTTTAGCGTTTCTTATTCAATTAGAGAGGAGTACATGTAACTATGACATGATTTTCAGCAACTGAACAACCTTATGGCAAGAAATACGGATCAGACATATTGAATAGAGACAAAATTATATAATGTCTGTGGATATCACATTACCTGAAATGTTGCAGCACATAAGACAGAAAAAGATAAGTTCCTCTAGGCTGAAGGCAAGAGTGCTTATGTTACACACCTCATCATTGTGTCAATAACCTCCCAAGGGAAAGACCCTTAAAAAATCTCTATATGCATTAGTTCAGTCAGAGTTTTGATAGATGGGCAGCTTTCTGTAGCCTACTTTTCCTGATTAAGGGAGCCCTTCCTGATCTTAAAAGCTATAGGAAGGATTTTATCCTTTCATGACCCTTTTTCTGCTATGCAACTGGAATTCAAAAAAAGTACAAGCCCTAGCACAGGCTTTGTGGGACCCCTCGTACATCAGCAACAGCAGGAGCAGGGAAGAAGCCCAGAGAGAGGGGCTGCTCAGAAAGAGACAGGTATGTGTGCTGGGTAATATTGCTATAAAAATTTTGAACACACTTGTTCACTTTGAGCACTCACAGATGGGCATCATCTCACCTGGGACAAAATGCTGGGTGTAGCACAGAAAAGCCAAGAACTGGATATGTGTAGGGGTGTTTCAGAGTACTTTTGCGTTCTTTTGGCCTTGTTGTGCAAATTCAGGAATGTGTACAAATTAGTCTGTAAGTCCTAAGTTAGCCCTTACTGTGTTCATTCACCTGAAAAGTATCTGTTTCTTGGTCTTGCTCAGTGTTCAGCCTGAACAACCAATCTCATCTGGTATTTCCTACCTATTGAGTGTTTGGTTTTGTTAATTTAAGCATTAGATACATGGTCCATTATTGCAATATCGTGAATTTCCTTTAATGTCTGGAGGATGAAATTCAGTTCATAACTGTGACTCTGGCTACCTGGGTGGTCTTTAGCAGATCACTTAGATTTCTGCTTCAGTTTCCACATCCATAATTTAAAGATATTTATCTTTTTAACATTGATAAGCATGCTGAAATAATCAATGGGTTAATGTCCTTAACAAAGGAAAATTGTCCAGCCTGTGAACTGCAAGTACTGTATGTTTCCTTGTTTCACAAATAGCCATTTTTCAAGTCATCAAGCTAGCAATTAATTAGTGCTTTTTGCTGTGCAGGTTGCCTTTTTTTCAGTGGCTTGTTGGGCATACATCATATGCACTAGACGCTGGGTATAACCAATCTTTTTTCTCTTTGCTGCCCACCTTATTTCTGCAGTATGTACGTGTGTCTTTTGACACAAAGCCTGACCTTCTTCTGCACCTGATGACCAAAGAGTGGCGAGCTCCCTAAACTTCTCATCTCTGTGCACGGGGGCCTTCAGAATTTTGAACTCCAGCCAAAACTCAAGCAAGTCTTTGGAAAAGGCCTCATTAAGGCTGCTATGACAACTGGAGCATGGATATTCACTGGAGGAGTAAACACAGGTGAATATTGAAAGAAAAGCGTAGTGGCATCTCAGAGATTTCATTGTTTTAACAGAAGATATTTAGAACTGATTTGATCAAGAAGCTGTTGGGTGCTTTATATTAGTAGAGCTGGCTAATGGGCAAAAAAGAAAGTGCCAAGTTCATACCAGTCTGGCAGCTCCCAGAGAAAGAAAGGTTTGCTAAAGCACACCAAGGTGCTGAAAATAAAGCCTCCTGTGTGGCAATTATATTAGTATATTGCCAGTGAGGACTTTGTAAGATCAGCGGTTAGCTACACAGAGGGCCCGGTAACCAGAAGCCCGAAGAAAGAAAGCTCTAATTACATAGAACAGGAAGTATTTTCATCTAGAAAAGACCTTTTATTTTCTCTTATAAGATCATCTGAAGTGTGAAAGAAAAAACAGTTCTGTTTTGTAGCTATAGGGAAAATCTTCACTGTGTGTAAGAATCACCTTTTCCTTTCTTGCAAAGAGCTTAACCTGATTTTTTTCTGTTATATGTGGAGCAACAGAGATAACATTACCATTTGTATGCAGAGTAGAGAACATCTGCAACATGCCATATGGGCCTTCTAAGGACCCAGGAAAGCAGCTGGCCCAGCTCTGCTGGAAAACTGCATGTGAAATTCCAGGAGTGAGCTGAGGAGCAGAGCCTCCCCAGATGAAAAAGGTCGAGCAGTGGCTTGTCAGTCACCCTCCCCTAGGGAGGCAGAAAGGAGAGAGTCAAGGGAAAATCAGAGTTCTGTGAAAGATAAATGCATAAAGTTTTGAGCCAGCGGATGTACATATAATTTCTTACGTCATTCTCATTTGCTGCATTAACAAAAGTACAATTTATTGTTTTAGTAATTCAGCCTAGCTTGTCCTCTTACTACATATGGAAAACATTGTAATCACTCTGTCATGCATTAATTTTAGTGTACTGTGCGTCAACTTCTGCATATTTGGATATGAATGCTTGTCTCAGGCTTTTTAGTTTCCAGAGCATATCAAATTTAAAAGAATATACCGTTTTCTCACAGCAGAAATATAAGCAAAGAAGAGGCATAACTTCTGGAGTGTTAGATAAATCAATAGGTGCATATGTATTTAATATGCCCCATCACTCTGCAGAATAAAGAAAATTAGGTTAAATGTTGACGTCTGTACTGTGGTCACAGTGATTGCATTAGTTGCTTAGATGCTATTGAGGTGACAATTTGCAAAGATAGCTAAAAATTCTGTTAAAAACATTAGAAAACAGTAGACGTCACACACTCATTGCAGTGGCTTGCCACAGGAACACTGGATATGAAACTGCAGAAATGTTGTGAACAGGGACTGAATATAATATTTTCATTTGGCAAATATAAGAATTTTTTATATCATTTTTCAAAGCATCATAACTGTGAATGCCCAGACAATTCAAACAAACCAAGCAAGTTCACCTAATTACTGTTGAAAGGGATTTATTTTTCCTGTAATCAAATGTGACCATAGTCAAAGCAATGGAGTTCGAATAACAGTTTCTGTGTGTTATTTTAAAACCTTGTAATTCCAGAGGCAGTTCTACGTTATCAGTTACATCTCATTGCTGCTTTTAAATTGTGGAGCAAAGCAGCTGAACGCTCTAGGGCTAGGTTTTAAAATTGTATAGGTAACGGTTGTGTGTTTTATCTCTGCGTGAAATTGCACAAATTGAGAATTTCTGCATACAGTCAGTTCTGTTGAGGATGAATTTTTACATTAGGTTTCTCTCAAGAAAAATATAGTAGAGAAATCCAGAAATGCTGCTGTTGGACTGCGAATCAGTGGTGCGAAAAGGATGGTGCAAACATGACTATACCATGACTGTTTAATGACTTCAGTTGTTTTGAATATTCATGTCATACCGTAAGAAGTTTTTGCAGTCTAGCCAGATTTTCTGCTCTGATTCCGTTGTGATGTTGGTAGTTTAATTCATAGCTAATAACAGGTACCGTTGAGGGGTTTTTTTGGTCATTTTGAAATTCGTGGAATTTGAACAGGAGGTAAACAGAGGAAATGAGTAAGAGAGAGCATCGATAGCAAATTCACAGGCATGTTTCCATGCAGCCACATCACAAAAAATAGTTAGTTATTGATCCAGATCATAAAAATGATTTTTTTAAAGGGAAGGAGGAATGATACTTGGGTGAGCAAATTTTTTGCTAGCCTGTCACAGTCTTCCTCCCCACATGTTGTTTGCACGAGAATATCACCGAAATGCTTACAAAGCTGCTCTAAAGCATACACAAGTAGCATTATCAGAAAGCATGGGAAAGAGAGCTGGGGAGCAGTCATTCTCTCTGTACTAATTTCTGTTTTCTCACTGATCCCCAGGGGTTTTTCCAATACCCTACTGGAAGCTATCTCAGGTGACTGAGCGTTTGGAACGAATGGTAGAATAGCTAACCACGGGGTAGCGTAGTGATGCTTTCACAACTCCTCCATCCTTTATTCGGGTACAAGAGATTATTTATATGCAAGCTACACTTTTTTTTTCTCTTCATTCCTTTTTTTCTTTCTATGCTTGGGAAGGACATACGCATATGACATATGGTATGTCCATATACCATGCGTTTGCTTGCATGCATATAAGTTTGTGAACACAAGTACAGAAAAACAAGTTACAGTCACCTGTCAACATTTCCATTTTTATTTCTAGAGCTGTAAAACTTTTTATTGCTACTTTATCTAATAATTTTGTAAATTATATAAATTGGTCTACCCAGCCCACCAAGGTATCAGTATTGTGGACCAAGTTGAGTAACACCTATAGTAAGACTGTAACAGTAATAAATAAGAAAATACTTTATAGCTTTACTTGGTTGTAAGCAGGTGTATTTCAGGTGATCCCTGAAAGGGAATTCTATCGTTAACTCAGACCGTAATGAAAAAAAGGGGTTGCAATTTGAATTTTACATTTTATGCTGCTTCTTTTCCAGGAGTCATTAGGCATGTTGGAGATGCACTGAAGGATCATGCCTCAAAATCTCGAGGGAAGATCTGCACTATCGGTATAGCTCCCTGGGGGATTGTGGAAAATCAAGAGGATCTGATTGGCAAAGATGTAAGCCCTATGCAGACATAGATCACCTCCAATACATATGAGTCTTGTGGTTGTTTTTCCTTTACTCTCTGCTCCTCACTAACAATTTGTCACAGAATTAATGTCTGCAGCAAAAAAAAAAGTACATTGGATTTCCAGTATATTTGATAACAGCTTTGAGATAGCAGCAGCAAAAATTCCCGCACTGTGCAGATGAAGAGATAAGAATTTGCGGTAGCTTCTAGCATATGTTCTTTTTTTAATAAATTATTTTAAAAATCCATTAAATGGTAATCTTAAAATATATATTAAACTTGCATA